TCAAGGCTCTATGGATGGATCATGCCCACCTCTAGTGTATGACCTGAGTCGATTTTCAGTTTCCATATTAGCATCATTAGTGGCTTCCCTCCAGTACGTCTGTTACCTTTTCAGAATAGTTTCACTTTATACATCCTGGTTTGTTTGTTTTTAGTGTTATTTGCCACCAATTTCCCACAAATACCACTCCCCTCCTTTTCTTGTTTCCTCTTCACACACCCTTGCATTTTTCAAAGGAACGTCAGGGAATCTGATCTGTCATCCCTGGGGCAGACGATCAGGGGAGCTTAGCTCCATTTGCTTGATTATCCTTTGAGCCTCCCAGGAAAATAATAAAATGTATTGGGGCCTGATGGTTAGATCCCATCCATTCAGAATTAATATTTTCTCAGAGAGAAGGGGGCCAGTCAAAAGCCCATGTCAGCCTCTCCACAAGGCACTCCTGGTGAGCAGGGAACTCATCTGAGGGGAAAAGAAATCGCTATAGGATACTACCTGAGACACCAGTTGATTGATAAACAAATTTACTTTTCGGCTTCTTCTCTCACACCAATTCTTTCTCATTGCTTTTTATGTTATCCACAGAATAAAGTTTCTATTTGTTATATACGTGAAAATGAATGAGTGACTGTTTGTCAACTTTAGTGGGTACAACATAGAGGAAATCAGACGGTATTGGGTCTCAAGCCTCATTCATGCCAAGCACACTTGAGTCCAACTTGGACTAGGTATGCTGGAAATGGGGGTGAAGGCTGAAAACATGCAGTTGCATAACCCCAAAACCTGTATCACTCACACTAGACAAATATGGTCCTTCTTTTGTGGAAAAAATGGTCAAAGCTGATTCTTATTGTTTTCTCTTTTTGATAAAGTAAGAAAGTAACTTTCACCCTATAATTTACATCTCAATCACTGGGCTGAGAAGTGACTTTCAACTTCAGGGAATCTTCTGTAGGTCTGGACTTTGTCCTTCTCAACAAGCATTGGACCATTGTTCAATAAAACAAAGCCTCTAGCAGATATAAATCAATGCCTGGTTATGCCATAATTATCTCACTTAAAATGTGGGTGACACAGCAAACCCAAAATTCACCTAGGTAGGGTAGGGGAGCCTGGAAGAGACTTCAAAGAGATAGGAAGTTATCCACTAGAATCTGGAACTGACAGTATATTTTCATCAAGTTTGGAAGGTATGCTATGGTCTGACAAAACATCAGTCCGGTGGTATTCGTGAAATCAAGTTTAGGGCATGAGAGGCACCTATTTAGACACTCAAGCTCTAAGCAACTGAGATGAGATACAAATGAGGATCTGGTGGGACTACTAAGCAAGAAAAAATGTGACATTAAGGTGTTGTACGAAAACACAGTGCTTTCAAATATAAGCCTCTATCGGTATGACTAAGTTATAAATGACAGAAAACTCAAATCTAACTAGTTTAACAAAAGATGTTTATTGGCTTACATAGCTGAAAAGTCCAGAGGTAGGACTATTTCAGGTAAGGCTTGGTCTAGTGGCTCAAATGATGTCACCAAGGACCCAGTTTCTCTCTGCTTCACCACTGTCTTCTTTGGTCATGGTTTTATCCTCGGGCTCCACATGGTAATGCCAGGAAGCTCCAGACTCTCTCCTTATAATCAAAAAATTGTTGCTACAGTTCCAGACCTCACGTCTTCCTACATATACATGCCATACAAAGGAGAACAGAGAATATCTCCTTTGGTCCCTCTCAAAGAAGAAAAGCCTCTCTCTTCCAGAAGGCCCGGTAAATATCTCCTCATACGTCATTGGCTCTGTGGCCAAGGGGATAGGATGAGTTGAAGGACCTAGGCCAAAAAGGATCTACTTATGAAGATGGGGGTGGAGCCAAGCTAGGTGGCTGAGAAAGGATGTTTTCCCAAAGAATATTTGGGTTGCTGTTCCCAAGGAGAAGGGAAATGGGTGCTGGGAACCAAACAAGAGGTGAACATTACAGAGCTCTGACTGAAAGTCACAAAGACATGCTCAGAATTGCAGACGCTGATTTACAACTGAGTTGCTTCTAAAGCAGGCAACTCTGTAGCTGGTTCTGGGTTGCAAAGCAGGAGAGATTTAATTATTCATTTCCCCAAGAGATTCTGGGTAGGCTAGCTAATTTTCAATATGTGAAGGACTCTATACACTATTTTTATATTTCCTCACTTTCCAATGCTGCTTTCGAAAATTTCACAGACAAAATTTTACCATAATCAATTCTTGATTTTAATATAGTTAAATGGAATTTGTCAGAAAGTATGCTGAATTTCTACCTTTTATATTTCTCTGAAATATAGAAATCGAGTATTAATTTTATTCCTCTTCTGACTTTGAGATATGTGGAAAGCATCATTACAAATTGGAAGGTGTTCCATGTTGCAATTTCTTCATCACAGACTATAGAGACTTTGAAACGGGCTCAGGGCTTCCAAATGCCTGTCTCTGGGCCTCTGGTAAGGAATAGACGAGTTAGGAACTCTCTTGGTAGGGTCCATCCATTTCCACATGCTTCTTTATAATCCTCCTGAAATACCTATCTTTTGCCATAATTTTTCTCAGTGTGATACTTCTAAAATTTGTCTTGCCATTCCGCCACTCTGTCTACAAACATTTTCATCTTTGAGGGAAAGAGTTCCTAGAGTAGACTAACTTCCATGATGCTCCTCTGTAAGTCCATACTATTTCCTCTCTTTCATCATTCCATTTCCGTGGGTTCTTACTCCTATTCATTCTCTCTCTCTCCCATTTTAAGATACTGACCTTCTAGTATATACATCATCCTCACTCTGGGAGCTTATGAATATTTAGGATTTTAATGATCGCTTCCTTGTAGTCCTGGTCCAAGCTTCAACCCTATTTCAACTGCTGCCTGTGTAATGTGTCCACTGGTAAAATTGCCAACCCCTCACTGACCACTCTTCTCAGCATCTCTTCCTGGCCCTTCCCTCTGTCCAACTCCCTAAATACTGAATTGGCATTCCATAGGACTCCATCGCGGGTCCTCATATTTTACTATACTCTCTATGAGGGCAGTACTGTCCAACAGAACTTTCTACAATAATGAAAATGTTCTATGTCTATACTACCCAAGATGATGGACAACTGCCCCATACAGTTATTGTGTGCTTGAAATCTGGCCAGCAACTAAGGAACTAAATTTTTAATTTAATTTAAATACCCACATGTGGCTAGTGGCTACTGTAATAGATAGTCTAGAGGATTTCATTCATTTCTGCCCACGGCTTTAAATACCCTCTGCTTGTTTGATGACTCCCAAATATACAGCTCCAGATATGACTAACCTAGAGCTCCAGCCCGTATATTCAACCAGTTACTTGAAATGTCTACATGCATATCTCACACATATCTCAAATGTTAATCCAAAACAGAGCTCTAGATTTCTCCCTCCTCAAATCTATTCCCATTCCAGTCTTATTCATTCCAGTAAATAGTACCACTAACTCAGCTGCTCGTACCAGAAACCAGAAAGCCATCCCTGTTCTTCCCTGTCGATCACTCCTTGTATCCAATCCATTAGCAGGTCACTGATTTTATTCCCAAAATATATCTTAAATCCACCTTCTCTCCATTTCCATTACCACCATACTCTCCAGGCTGCCATCATCTCCAACCTGGACTGTAGCAGTTTCCAACATTATCTCTCCTTTAGCTTTTGTCCCTTTAGAAACCATTTCTACTTGCAGCCAGAGGGATCATCTTAAAATATGAATCAAACATGTCATTCCTCCATTGACATGGCTTCCATTTAATGGCTTCTTTTCGCTTAGGATGGAATTGAATGATTTGGCCCACCTATCCTACAAACGCAACTTGTGCCACACATACCCTTGATCATAATGCTATAGCTAAAACCATTCAGTTTCTTGAACATGCCAAACTCTTCACACAAGGAGTCTGCAGAGCAGTTCCCTCTGCCTGTTCTTCCCGTTCTTGATCCAAGCGGCTCTTTCTCATTCTATGAGTCTTACCTTTAATGTTACTTCTTAGGATAGGCCTTCCCTGGCCATCTATATAGGGAGAGGGTCCCTCACCATCATTCTCTCTGTACCTTGTTTAGTCCCTTCATAGCACTTGGCAATTTTTAATAATTTTGTTTACTTGATTTTTTTGGTTGGTCTCTCTCACTAGATTAATGTTCCAGGAAAGCAGGGAGCAAGTCTGACTTATCACTGTTTACACGGCACCTGCATAGCACTTTGCATGCAGCCAGGTGCTCAGTAATATTTGCTTAGTAAATAACTTCCCCCAAATACTTGTTCACATCACTCATTTCCATTTCCTGGTTCCATGTAGTACAAAACAAAATTTTTGCTGCTTATTAGAGGTTACCCTAGCTGAACTATGCTAGGCGAAGTTCTCCTTATTACATGGCCTTAGGCTTCAGCCATCAGGGACTCTAGAGTTATTAACATGTTTGTAATTTCCAGGAAGCAGAAGTTTGGTCCAAGCAGGCCTCTGGCTTCTCCTCTTTGCTGCTTTGTCAACAATAAATATTAACTGGCTGGGAGCTTATAAAGTGGGATGCCTAAATAGCAATGAGGCAAACTGCAGTCTGAAAATGGCTCTAAAGGTGAAGAGTCTGGAATGGATGTTTCAGATCTGTTTTGGCCAGCATTCTCCTCTGAATAGGGCCTTTGGTTTTCTAACCCTTTATGATGCTTAATACCATTATCTAATATCCTGCATTTCTTCAGAATTGGTATTAACATCCTGTATCCTCTTTTAAATATATATATATGTTTCTGGTGAGAATCATTGGCCCTAAGCTAACATCTGTTGCCAATCTTCCTCTTTTTGCTTCAGGAAGATTGTTGCTGAGCTAACATCTGTGCCAATCTTCCTCTATTTTGTATGTGGGACACCACCACAGCATGGCTTGATGAGCAGTGTGTAGGCCTGTGCCCAGGATCCAAACCAGCGAACCCCAGGCCACCAAAGCAGAACACGCGAACTTGACCACTATGCCACTGGGCCAGCTCCTTAACATTTTATTTTATAGACTCCTTATTTCACGTTGAGTTAGTTAATTTTGGAATTCACTTTCTCCTTCCTCACTGTGTAGAACCTGTGTTACTAACATTTGTTTTATCTTTGATCCTGGACCTAGGGAGGGCATCTGTGACTCTGATGCCAAAATATTGGATTATATTTCCACCACTAACTGGCTGAGTCTACCTAACAAAGCATTAACCATTATCAGAGAGTGACCATGTCTCCCTTCCCTGGTGATGGCCCCACAGCTTACTTTGGGTTTGGGCTATTATGGTGATGAGAAGGGGGTAGACTGGGAGAGGATTTAGGATAGTGGTACAATGAAAGGAGGTGGAGTTACTTAAATTTTTATGAAAAAGTCTCCCACTTGCTTTACATTTTCCCAGTCTCAAAGTACTATGTTATAACACATATGCAATCAGGTCTTAAGATTGCACAACCCAGATTACCCTCCACTGCTTTCCTTAAGTTACCTTGGTGATCTCAGGAGGACCACAACTTCTGAGGAAGAAGAGGTCCTGGAGTTGACAACATAACTGTAACATCACATCATCTACATCAAATAACAGTTTTCAGTGAGGTAGACTTATGAAAGCAGCATTAATAAATACTTGTTTATGTATAGAAAGAATATATCCAGAAAGATATACAACTAGTAACAATGATTGTCTCTGAGCAGGAAGAGCAGAAGACAGGAGTGACAAGGATATTTACTTTTCACTGAACACCTTTTTGAACTATTTCAATGTTTTTATCATAAGCATGTTATATCTAATCAAAAATAAATAATTTTCAACATTTGAAAAACATGAAAGAAATGCAGTGTTGGGTCCTCAAAGAGCCATTCAGATGGAGCCATTTAGTTGGACTAACAGACATAAGACAATTAGAAAAATATAAGATAGCACATAATTAAATACCAACTTGGGTGGTACTGATTACAAGTAGAAAAGGAGGAGAGGCCTGCTAGTTGAAGGAACTGGGTCTTAGGTAAGGAAGGGAAACTTTTGGCTAGGGAAACTTGAGCAACTAAAAATGGGTAGAAGCAGAAATGTGCGCAAATAAAGAACAGTAGGATCTGGAGTCAGATAGGCCTGGTTCCAATCTATAACTGACTAGCTGAGCAAACTTGAATGAGTTTTATAACCCTTCCAACCTTAGATTTCTCATTTGTAAAATGGGGATAAGAGTACCTACCTTAATATGATTAAGAAAAATTAAAGAATGTATGTCAAGTGGTTAGCACAGTACCTGACACAGAGTAGCTGCTCAACTAAATGTTGCCTAGTATAAACATGGTTGAACTAGGGAACCAGTCTTGCTAGAGTACAGGGTATCTGTTCAGGAGAAGGGGCAAGAAAATACTGTCTATTTGAGGTACAGAAAATTGTGGACAGTCATCTCATTTTGTCTCTGGGGTTCCTGTAGCATAAGAACTATAAACAAGCGTCACCCTTATGCATTCTCTAATGTTCAAGGTGAGAGGTCTGACAATTATAGGGTTTCTCTCTAGAATGGCGCCTCTGGTGCTTAATCAAAACAGAATTCTGACTGAAGGCCTTCCCACAGTCATTACATTTATAGGGTCTTTCCCCAGTATGGATTCTCTGATGTCGGATAAGGTGTGCCTTGCAAATGAAGCTTTTCCCACAGTCAGTACACTCATGAGGCTTCTCCCCAGTGTGGACCCTCTGGTGCTGAGCAAGATCTGAGTTCCACATGAAGCCTTTCCCACAGTCTTTACATTCATAAGGTTTCTCCCCCGTGTGGATTCTCTGATGTCGAAGAAGGGCTGGGTTCCGAGTAAAGCTTTTCCCACATTCCTTACATGTATATGGTTTCTCCCCAGTGTGGATTCGCTGATGTTGTGTAAGGCTTGTGTTCTGACTAAAGCCCTTCCCACATTCCTTACATTCAAAGGGTTTCTCTCCAGTATGTATTCTCTGGTGCCGAATGAGATTTGACTTCCAAACGAAGGCTTTAGCACATTCTTGACACACATAGGGTTTCACCCCACTGTGAATTCTCTGATGTGCAATGCAATGTGATCTAAAACTGAAAGTCTTCCCACATTCCTTACATCCATAGACCTTCTCTCCATTATGAATTCTCTGATGTTCATCAAAGTCTTCATTTTGATCAAAACACTTGCCACATTCTTCACATGTATAGAATACCTGCTCACCTAGAATTTTCTGATGTATAACAAGGTGAGTATTAACATCAGTATTCTCTGAACACTCTTCCACTGAGATCATCTCATCTTTGACAATGACTTCTATAATATCATTTGTAGTGTTCTCCACACTTCCTCCACTGGGGTAGTCAGGCCATCTCCCTAATCTGCTTTTCTCCTCTTCCCAGGTCTTTCCAAACCAGAATTTCTGGGAGCCACACCAGTGGGGTCCACTTGATAGCACCATGTGCTCCTGTGCCTCCTCAAAAGTTTCCTCCTTCAGAATAAAATCTTCCTTCTCAATCTTCAACACACCCTCTGAAAGAAGAAATCAGAGCTGCAAGTGTCATCATTACCCATGACAGAGTGACTAAGGTCAACAAGTGGTATTAATACGTCCATTTCTCTCCAAGTAACACCCCTGTGTCTAAGTGCTCCTGTCCTAGCTGAAAACGGCAAAACAGGGCTAACAGACAGGAAGCAACCAAAAGCAAAAGGCAGAAACTAGACAGCAAGTCCCTGAGAGTTGTGATTCCCAGCACCAGACCAAGCTGGGGGGGTGCTCTCAGGAAACAGTTGAATTGAATCTAAGGGAGATGGAATTCCTTCTAGGTAGTCCAGTTTATAACATGAGAGGAACAGGCCAGGATTCAGAGCAGAAGACCCGTTCAGAAATAAAGAACACTTTGTGGGATACCTGGAGAACCTGAGTTTGTCACATGCAGGGGAGCAGCAAGAAAAATCTTCCTCACACTTTTCAACACTAAAAGGAAAGAGTCTTCTCATTCAATCCCCTCACGAGGTCCACCAGGAAAAGTGTTTCCCCAAACTACTTTAGGTAGAGTTAGGCAAACTCCCCTCTCTTTGTTCCCATAGTGTCTTATTCACACCTGTGTTGCATCACATTTTGCTGTAATCATACATTTAGGTATAACGTCCCATTAGACTGTGAGCTCTTCCAGGATAAGGGCATATATTACCCATTTTTTGATCCCTAGCAACTGACACAATGAGTAAAATATAGCATTTACTTTTAAAATATCAGTTGACAATAGCAGCCAGAAAGGTAGGCCATCTTTTCAGTTTGAGCCTAAGACCCAAGACCCACCCAAATTTAATTAATTGAGTTTGTCCAAACGAAAACTAGAAGCTTAGAGTTTAAGTTTGCTCTTGATTAACTGGTTGATTTGGGGATGTTTAGAAGGTTTGTTATTTAGAACACAGACAGTAAAATGGAAGTTTAGCATTTTACGAAGGAAATAGGGGAAAATATGTGACCGTAAGAAAAGTGCTCATTTCCCTCTCACTTACCAGTACAAATTAGGCTTGGACCCTCTCCTTGCAGTTTCAGGTTCAATGGCTCTTCCACCTGCTCAAGATGGGAGATCCCAGCAGGCTTTAGAAACGGATATCCTGCCAAGGTCAAGACATAAATAAGGCTGGTTCAGTTGCTGGAGTGGGGCCCATTAGGAAAGGAGCAGAGATGGAAGTGGTAGGGGAGAATGGAGGGGGGTGGCAAGACTGGTAACACAGATGACCTGAAACTTGAAGGGGATAAGAATATAAAGGATAGGAAATAGAGGCACAGGGAAGTTGCGATTCTATCAGCTCCCCAAAATACAAAAACATATCACTCATTTAAAAATGTCAAGAAACAGGAAAGACTACAGTTCCTTCTGCATCTGCCCCTAGGAGGTAAAAGCCAGTTCACACAGAAAGGAATCAGGATAGGATGGAATTGCAAAGAGCTGTTTCCGAGGCTATGTTGGGAAACCACAATCTCTTAATTTCCTTCCTTCCTACCTACCTTCCGCCCTGTCTTTCCACAAACAACCCACGATGGTTCTCTCTATGGCATCCATAAGAAATGGCCTCATAGCCTCACTCAGCCATTTCCAGAAGTCACTTCTTACTCTCATGATAGACATCTCTATTCACAAAGGCCCACTAATAAACTCTCCAGGCTTAGGTAAGATCTGTCTCTTTGTGACTTCCATTTGAAGCCTCCTAAGAAACAGATCAATTCTACAACTTCCAAATGATGACCTTTTATGTTGCTAAAGGCAAGGACTGTGTGTCCCCTGAGAATTCTCTTCTCTAGACAAAAGTGGACGTTGAGCAGGGACACGTGCTCCAAGACGGTCTGCTGCAGGTCAGGGAGTTAGGGTTTTACTCCAGGAATAACTTGGCTATTAGCTTTCTGTCTAAAACAAAGATGGGAAATTCCCTTGGGTGTTGGGGAGAGTAAGCACTGAGATCCTAAGAGAATGTAAAGGATGCTGTAGTTGTCTCCCTACCTCCTTTCTATCCCTGCCCCAATGCAGAGCAGCCATGCCCTTTGGTGGAGAGTGATCCCAGTTCCAACTCCTACTGTAGGCCCCCATGGGTCTAAGCCAATCAGGTTATCCCATTCCACTCTACAAGAGAGATTGGTTTAGGGATCAGCAGTTCTTGCAAAGCCAATCAGTGCACAATACTTCCCTGGCCACAGTGACTGATTTAGAGCTGGCATAAGACTTAAGAGGGTGCATTAGAGCAATACTTGGGACTTTGATCCGCAATAGTTAAAGCCTGAGGAAGGCCCACTCTTTTTCTATCCCTAGGTATGAAGAAGCAGAGTCCTGGTTACAACTACCAATCACCTTACAACCATGAAAGGAGCTAGACCATAGAGAAAGCCAACATACAAGGAGACAGAGAAGAGTAGAGATTGGAATTCTGATAAAACTGTACCTGCAGCCCACTCTACCTATGGATTTCCCAATTACACAAAACAACAATTCATCTTTATTGTTTAAGCTAGTTTGAATCGAGTTGTTAATTGCAATCAAGAGTATCCTAATACGGAAAGGCTGCAAGACACAGAAAGGAACTATGAGAACGAGGAAGTTGAGGGCACAGCTCAAGTCTCACTGTGCCCACAGAAGAGCCCCTGTGGGAAGAAGACAGAAAGGACCAAGGAGGCAATAATGGGACACAGTTTTCACTAGGAAATTAGGAGCTGGAAAGCCCTGTGTTGGCCTTGTCAGGGCTTTCCCCACCAGAAATCCCTAAAGAACAGGAACTATTTGGCTCAGGGTTATTGAGACTTCTTGATTTCTAATGATGAAGCCAGCCATGACACCCCAAAGGGCAGTAAGAATCTTCTATAAGCAGGCTTGGAAAATAGAAAGGCCACCTCAGATTAGAGAGTGAACAGAAAAGTCAAGGAGTAAAGATAAATAGCAGCCAGGATAGGACAGAGGAGATGGGGAAGAGGCAAAACAGGTGAATGAAGATGGCACACAGAGGAGCCAGGATGAACAAAACAACGACTTAAAAAGACGGAACACATGAGAACACAGTGGAAAAAAGGGAATCCTACTGGTGTCTACAACCCTAGGTTAAGAGAAGAGACACCTACTACAATTTAAAGATCACGACAAGGGAACTGGTCAGATGACTGGCACCTGTCCTCACTCACCTGAGGAGATGCCCCTCGGGCCCTCTCCATCCAGAACTCCCTGAGGAGCCGAGCACCAGGGTGCTTCCCCTCGCTCCAGCTGGGAAATCAGAGCCGGTTTGGGAAATGGAAATGCTGCTTGAGGGGAAGGAAATGGGACAGGCAGGTGAGTGGGGTGACAAAGAACAATCCCAGGCTCCTCCCAGGCCTGTGTCTTCAGGGGCAGGAGGAGAAAGAAGGGAAATTACCAGGGAAAGCAGGAAAGGAAGTCCAGGGAAAGGGACAGGAGACCCAGGGGAGAGGGGCCAGGAGGCTTACAGAGTTCAGGAAGTAGACAGAGTAAAAGGTGCTCAGTAACAGCTGAGTGAGCAAATGGATGAGTTCACTCATTGAGGAATTGAGCTTTCTTGTTCTCTCCCTCTCTTAGAGCTCCCAAGTCCAGACATCAGTATGAGGATGCTCAGTGTTGGGCCGGGTCTCCCAAACTGAGAGGATGGGGAACTGGGGGGCTCGATGGGGCACTAGGAATCTGCTTTCTTCCCACTGCACATGGGTTAGGAGGTGGGAAGCTCTCACCCTGGGACAAGCAAGTCCTCTATGAGGCCTGAATTGATACTAGGACTTTTCACTTCCCAGCAACTGCTAAGGTTGGGTCAGTAAGAATCCAGGAGCCTGAGGTTGCCACTCAGCTGAAGGTTATCAAAGACTCCTAAGCCTTTGAGGGAGAAGGAGCCAGGAAACTCTGAAGGGCAGAGGAGAGTGCAAAGGGAAAGACCCTTACCCAGGGAAGACACGGCCCCATAATTCTCCAGCATCACATCCCTGTACAGGGACCTCTGAGCAGGGGCCAGGCCGGTCCATTCATTCTCAGAGAAGTAGACGGCTACGTCCTCGAAGGTCACTGACTCCTGAAACAACATGTGTTTAAATACCCTAGGACAATCCCAGGACCAGGGCCTGGAAGAAGGGGAGACGAGGAACTAAGAGGTACTGAAGGGCATGCCTGTTCAGTTTCTAGATTCTGAATGTCTAAGGAAGCTTTCCCCCTACCTACAAAGACATAAGGGATCAGCCAGCAAGTTTCTCAGGTCTCTTCATCTTTACTTTACAGCAGACATCCTCTCATCTTTTTCATGAGTCTCTGCAAGTTTTCCCTTTTCACTCCTACACCCAAAACAACTCTTTGTGCTCTAGGTGCCATCCTTTCTCCACAATGTGTCCTCTTTCAGAGGTCATCAACCCTTCATAACAAGAGCAACTACCATTTGTGGAGCCTGTGCAAGCACTCTACCCATATTACTTTGTGTGTACCTCACAGCAAACACAAGGAGGGCATTAGATCCATTCTATTGAAGAGGAAACCAGGGCTCAGAGAGGAACTGCCCCAAAGTCACAGAACCAAGACAGAACTCAGGCCTGTTTGACTCTGGCTCTTACCTACTGCATCACATTGCCTTCTAGCCTCACTCCTGCCTCCCCTGCTGCCCCTGTGTAGGACCCTTTCTCTTCTCTCCCTCCCAGTCACCGCCACCAGTCGAAGAGGCAGCTAAGGGCACCTCAGAATGCTCGGGTTGCTCTGGAGCCTGTATCAAAAGGGCAGATGCAAATTCTGACTTTCCTCCCCGTACTCCCAGACCCCAGCATACTCTCTATAACACTCCACCCTGCTCTTTCTTACCCACATCCCAGTCTCAAGGTCCCCTTTTTCTATATCTCTGGGAGCCCGAGCTCCTGCGGCCCTTCTTTCCTTTCTCTCCCACCGCTTCCTTGAGAAACACAAACAGTGCTAACTTGGAGCTGTCAAGACCTATAATTCCCAGCCACTGCCTCATTCAGGATCTCAGTCTCCATACTATGGGGGGGCTGATTCTGGTCCATTTCACATCAGGCCTTGCTCTATAAAGCCCCCACAGTGACCTACCCAGCATTCTAGGGCTCAAAGTTTTTGGTTGGCTCACCTTTGCCCACCTAAAAATGTCCAAATCCTCTGCACCACAGACAATTCCTTCACTACTCAGGGACCCAGCTTACCTGCCAAGGATCATCTCCTGCACCCCCACCCTCATCCCCTATCCTGTCACTATCCTGTTACGAACCCAAACCCCTTCCTTGCCCTGATCTGTGTCCTGGCACCTGCAACTCCCCCTGCCTTAAGATCCAATTTCTCCCTCTTCCGCCTGCAAACTCATGTTCATCTCAAGACCCACCTCAAACATAACCAGCTCTGTAAAGCCAGTGCCATGGAAATTCTGGACATTCGTCGCTGCGCACAGCGCTCTGTGAACACCTCCGCCCCAGCACCTGGCTCACATGTGCTTCCCCTGCCGGCGCAAGTCTGAGGGCTGTCGAATCCACTCTGTCCCTCGCCTGCTCCTCCGGGCCCTCCAGTCTGGGCTGTACCCCGATTTCCCAGTCGCCACACTGCCCCCTCTCCGCCCCTCATCTGGGCCTAGAGCCCGAGGCAGAGCCGAGCCAGCTTCGTGGCGCCGGCCCCGCACTCACCGGGCGCGCCCGGGCCGGCGCGGGCTGTCCTGGCAGCAGCTCGAGCGCAGGGCCGAAGCGGGCTCTGCTCGCCAGGGCCGCGGTCGCCAGGGCCCGGGCCGCCCTCCGGGGAAGCGAGCGCGCGCCGGGCCCTACCCGGGGTTGTCCGGTGTTGGGGAGGGACGCTCCGGACCAGGGTGGCCCTGACATAACCGCCCCTCGCCCGTGAGCGACCCAGGCAAGACCCACACTCCACGCCCCGCCAGCCTGGCCAACCCCACGCCAGGTCGTCACGTTCCGCGCGGGCCAGAGCCCCGCACTGGAGAGGTGGAAGCTGCAGCAGTCGTGCCACCCCGGCTTCTCTAGGACGGTGGAGGGCGCCGCATCTCTGTGGTCCTCCCTTCTCGCCCTGCAAAGGAGGGAGGGGAGAGTGGTCCAGCTCTCCCAGGGATACCGACTGCCCCGGCGCGCCGCTGCAGGGATGGAGGGGAGCCGACGGCCGCGGAGGAGGCTTCCTCTGGGAAGAGGCTTCCTCTGGGAATCCTTTCCTGGCCCTCTTCTTCCCACTGACCGTCCTGCTTCACCTTTCAGCACTCTTGTAGGATGGATGCTGATGTAAGGCTGCACACTTGACTATGCCTGTTCATCTATCCGCCTCCCTTTACTATGTTCTACATTCTCAGAGAGCAGATTACGTACTTGGCATGTCCATCTTTGTGCCTCTAACATCCGCCCAATGTCTAGCAGCTCTTAGGGCCCAATTTCTTTGAGTGCCAAGGAACATTTGTTGAATAAAAGAATGAATGAATGAATGAATAGTGAACCAATTTTTCAGTTGAAGTAAGGCCCAAAGAGAGGAAAGGGCTTACCTAATACCACACAGCATGTCAGAAAGTTAAACTTTTAAACAAAGTGGCAGAAATAAAGGAAGACCATCCACATGAGAACAAGCAAAGTCTATTTATTCAGAGCTTGCTACAGCAAGGGAGTCAACCATCATCACTTGCATTTGGCAGAGACTCTAAGTCAGGCAGAGAAGTGGGAAAGCTTTAAGGTGGGAAAAAGGGAATGCTTCAGGTGTGCTCTGATTAGAGATTGTTGGCATAGGGGGTTGGCAAGAAGCAAAGCCCTTATGTGATTGGTTGGGGGAGCATATTAATCAAATTCTGGGTGTTTAGGGCTGACTGCTACAGGGATTATTTTGGCTTCCTGGACTGGTTGCTACAGACAGTGTTTTTGACTTCTTGGACTGGTTACTGCAGATAACGGGCTGGCTTCCTGGACTGGTTGTTGTAGATTGTGGGTCTGAATTCTATTTTTCTATATGGTCTGGCCATTGTCCGTTTGTACATTCAGTTTCATGGGGTGAACAAGGTAGGAAGATGTGTGTTTCACAGGGATTCAAGTCTACAGGCTCAGATGCCTTCCAGCTCCCCAGGTACTGAAAGCTTACAGATACTATACCTGTGAAAAATCACAGAGCAAAGGAGACCTCAGAGAAGCTCATAGGTTGGTTGGTTGGTTAGTTTCTAAGAGGATACTAGAGAAGCTTGTAAATGGATACTTGCTGACAGCCTTTGAGCACTGAGAAGGAAGCAGTGACTCTTACCCTGGGAAAGATCACTAGGAAGACTGAGCATACAGCAAATGCTCCCATGATTTTTTTAGGGACAAAATGGAGTGACAAAACAATTATGGGAGTTTTAGCTCAGAACAAGGAGGCTTCAGATGCCCGATTACTAAGTCATGGCCCACCAGAAGGAAGGTCTCTTGTGGCTCTCATGTCTTACCCACACCATTTGCTTAGACTCATCCCTAGTTAGCTCAGAAATTCCTTTCTTATATAACTTATGACATCCTAGAACATCTCCTACCCTCTGACATGTGGGCCATGACAAGAGCACCTTAGGAGTTGTCATCTCATAATTCATGATCATTATAATCATTATCTATAATTGCTCAAATCCAGCAAACATAGCTGAGAGGCAAGAAAAAAAAAAAAGCCCTATGTTAGGTTTCAGTCTTCTAGGCCCTGGCTCTCCTTTCCTACCTGCAAATTCTGGTAGTCCAGTTTTCCTGGGATGGGCATTGGAGGAAAAAGATAGAGTGAGAAGGGTTAATTATGTGTTTTGCGTTTCCTACAGCCAGTTCGGGCCTTCTCCCACTCCTGAACCTCATAATTAGATATTACATTTAAATGGGTGGTACCCTTTTAGGTAGTTGTAAAATTAAGAGCCCAAATAGACTATCTTAAGTTGTACAACACTGAGAGCTGAAGCTTGGTTTTCCAATTATTTTTTTCAGTTTTTCTTTGAGTTCACTCTCCCTTTTAATAGCACCTGCTTCTTGGTGATGATACAGGGCATGAAAGGTCCAGCGAATGTCCCAGGTAACTGTCCACTGTTGGCATTTTTAGCTATAAAAGTAGCACTAGTGTCTGACTGGGTGTATGTGGGGAGTCCAGACATGTAACATAGGCCATCTAAGAGACCTTGAGTAATATTGCCGACATCTGCTGTGTGGATGGGGATGGCAGTGCCACACCCTGAAAAGGTGTCTACTGCAGTCCATGCCCAGCAGTACTCTCAACAGGAAGGTAGGGGGTCTACACAGCCTATTTGCTAGGACTGACCAAGTCCAGTACCCACAGTTATGTGCTCCAGAGTTCTTTTTGCTACTCAACTGTGTGACTGGCAGTCCAATCACATTTTTCAGGCTCCTGCATTCTTCCTTCCATCTTGATGTTCCAAGATTCCTTCTTTTATTGTTTCCTTCTTGTTTACAGAACTTGTTTTAGCCATCATATTCAGGTAGATATGCTAGTGACAATTCTCTTCATTTTCCTTCATCTGAGAACATCCTGATTTTACCTTCATTCTTGAAGGGTATTTTCACTGGCATAGAATTTTGGTTTTGACAGTTCTTTCCTTTCATCACTTAAAAAATTTTGTGCCACTTCCATGGTTTCTGATAAGAAATCCACTTTCATTCGAATTGTTTTTCTATAGGTAGTATGTTGCTTCTCTCTAGCTACTTTCAAACATTTTCCTTGTCTTTAGATTTTTGAAGTTTGACTACAATGTGCCTGGACTTGAATTTATTTCACTTTATCCTGTTGGGGGTTTGTACAGCTAATTTTAATGAAATCCTGTTTATCTATTTTTTCTTTTGTTGCCTGTACTTTTGGTGTCATATCCATGAGATTGTTGCCAAATCCAGTGTCTTAAAGATTTTCCTCAATGTTTTCTTCTAACAGTCTTACAGTTTTAGCTCTTAACACATTTTGAGTTAATTTTTGTATGCAGTGTAAGGTAATTTCATTCTTTTTTTTTTTTTTTTTTTTTGAGGAAGATTAGCCCTGAGCTAACTACTGCCAGTCCTCCTCTTTTTGCTGAGGAAGCCTGGCCCTGAGCTAACATCGTGCCCATCTTCCTCTACTTTTATATGTGGAATGCCTACCACAGCATGGCGTGCCAAGTGGTGCCATGTCCACACCCGGGATCTGAACCGGCAAACCCTGGGCCACCGAGAAGCGGAACATGCGAACTTAACCGCTGCACCACTGGGCCGGCTCCGGTAATTTCCTTCTTTTGCATGTGATGTCCAGTTTCTCCAGCGTCATTTGTTGAAATGGTGTCCTTTCCTCCTTGAATGGTCTTGGCATCCTTATCAAAAATCAACTGACCATATATGATAGGGTTTATTTCTGGGCTCTCTATTCTATTCCATTGGTCTATATGTCTGTCTTTATGCCAGTACCATGATGTTTTATTTAATGTAGCTTTGCAGTAAATTTTAAAGGCAGGAGGAGTGAGTCCTCCAACTTTATTCTTTTTCAAGACAGTTTTGGCTATTCAGGGCTCCTTGAAATTCCACATGAATTTAAAGATCAGCTTTTCCATTTCTCTGAAAAAAGCTGTTGGGATTTTGATAGGGATCGTGTTGAATCTATAGATCACTTTGGGTAGTATTGACACCTTAACAATGTTATGTCTTCCTATCCATGAACATGGAATGTCTTTCCATTTATGTAAGTCTAATTTCTTTCAGCAATGTTTTGTATTTTCAGCATACAGGTCTTTCACCAACTTGGGTAGATTTATTCCTAAATATTTAATTCTTTTAGATGCTATTGTAAATGGAATTGTATTAATTTCCTTTTTGGATTGCTCGCTGCTGATATATTGAAACATAAGTTTTTTCTTTTTTTGAGGAAGATAAGCTGTGAGCTAACTGCTGCCAACCCTCCTCTTTTTGCTGAGGAAGGCTGGCCCTGAGCTAACATCCATGCCCATCTTCCTCTACTTTATATGTGGGACGCCTACCACAGCACGGCTTACCAAGCAGTCCCATGTCTGCACCCAGGATCCAAACCAGCAAACCCGGGGCCGCCAAAGTGGAACGTGCGCACTTAACTGCTGTGCCACCAAGCCAGCCCCGAAACATAACTGCTTTTTATATTGATCTTGTACCCGGCAACTTTGCTGAATTTATTAACTCTAGTAGTTCTTGTGGATTTTGGGGGGGTTTTCTATATATGAGATCATGTCATCTGTGAATAGAGACAGTTTTCCCTCTTCCTTTCCAATGTGAATGCTGTTTCTTTCTTTTTCTTGCCTAATAGCTAATAGAATTTCCAGTACAATGCTGAACAGCAGCAGTGAAAAGTGGGCATCCTTGTTTTGGGGCCTTCCTGATGTTAGAGGGAAAGTTGTCTTTCACCATTGATTATGATCTTAGCTGCAGGTTTCCCATAAATACCCTTTATCGTATTGAGGAATTTTCCCTCTATTTCTAGTTTTCTGAGAGATTTTATTATGAAACTGTGTTCAATTTTGTCAAATGTATTTTCTGCATCAACTGAAATGATCAGGTAGGGTTTTTTCCTCTTCGTTCTAATAATGTGATGTATCAAATCGATTTTCTTAAGTTCAACTAACCTTGAATTGCTGATATAAATCCCACTTGGTTATGGTGAATCATCCTTTTAACGTGCTATTGGATTTGATTTTCTAATATTGTGTTGAGGATTTTTGCATCTATATTCATAAGGTCTGAAATTTTCTTTCATATAATGCCTTCACTTGCCTTTGGTATCACAGTACTACTGGCCCCACAGAATGACTTACGAAGTGTTCCCTCTTCTTTAATCTTTTGCAAAAGTCTGAGAAGGATTGGTGTTAATCTTCCTTTAAATGTTTGGTAAATTCACCAATGCAGCCATCTGGCTTAGAACTTTTCTTTGTTGGCAAGTTTTTAATTAGGGCTTTAATCTCTTTACTTGTTATAGGTCTTCTGAGATTTTCTATTTCTTCACAAGTCAGTTTAGGTAACTTGTGTTTCAAGGAATTTGTCCATTTCTTCTAGGTTATCTAATTCGTTGAAGTACAATTGCTCATAGTGTTCTCTTATAATCATTCCTATCTCTGTAAGGTTGGTAGTAATGTCCCCATTTTCATTTCTGATTTTACTTATTTGCATCTTCTCTACTTTCTTCTTAGTCAATCTAGCTAAAGGTTTGTCAATTTAGTTGAACTTTTCAAATAACCAACTTCTGGTTTCACTGATTTTCTCTATTGTTTTTCTATTCTCTATTTCATGTATCTCTGTTCTAATCTTTATTATTTCCTTCCTTCTGCTAGGTTTGACTTGGGCTTGCTCTTCTTTTCTAGTTTCTTTTTTTTTTTTTTAAGATTGGCACCTAAGCTAACAACTGTTGCCAATCTTTTTCTTTTTTTATTCTTCTCCCCAAAGCTTCTGAGTACATAATTGTGTATTCTAGCTGTAAGTGTCTCTGTTTGTACCACATGGGATACCACTTCAGCATGGCCTGACGAGCAATGCCATGTCCGCACCCAGGATCTGAACCAGTGAAATCCTGGGCCGCCAAAGCAGAGCGAGCAAAGTTAACCACTCGGCCACGGAACCAGCCCCCTTCTTTTCTAGTTTCTTAAGGTGTAAAGTTAGGTTATTGATTTGAGATCTTTTTTAACGTAAGCATTTACAGCTAGCATTTTCCCTCTTAGCATTGCTTTCACTATATGAAGGTTTTAGTAAGTAGGTCCCCATGTTCATTCATCTCAAGGTATTTTCTAATTTCTCTTGTGATTTCTTCTTTCAAGAAGAAAGCATTAGGGAGCCTCAGACTCCATGTGAGTCTTTTTCCCTTTGATCCAGCTATGTATCCTTAGTTTACCACTGTAATAAATCTTAGCCATGAGTACCACTGTATGCTGAGTCCCTGAGAGTTCTTCTAGAGAATCTCTGAACGTGAGGGTGGTCTTAGGGATCCCTGATAGGAAGTTGATATGAGGATTAGATGGCCTAATACAAACAAAGCATTTAGTATAATACTTGGCTCATGGTAAATTCTTAGAACAGTATAGTGATAGCCACGGTTGCAATGGGGATGACTAGCATAGAGCCATGAACAGGACAGGTGCTCAATATCAATCATTCTAATTCCCATCCTATCCCTCCATCCTCTTCCACTATACACTCTCATATCTCTTAGTCTCTTGGTGAATGCACAGCCCAATACCTTTAAAATGGCATCTCACTGCTGGCAAGTACCTCAAGTTCAGCCTCCTGTTGATGCAGGAGAATAGCAAGGCTCAGAGAGGTGAAATGAAATGTCCTGGGTCGTGTCATGAGTTGGTTACAGAGTTGAGACATGAACCCAGGTTGCCCTTTAAGTCCTACACTGGCTTCGCTGTCACCTGGTATATGTGATGCAGACTAAGTGTAAGATAATCAACCTGGGGCCAAGCTGTCAAGAACCCAGCCGCCACTGAGGGGTTTACTTCTCTCCCTGAAAAAAAGGACTCTTGAAAATTAGGAAGGAAAAGGAGTCATAAATAAGACCAGCCCTATGCTAAATGAGACCATTATCTGATCTAAAGGCAGAGTGAAGTAATTTCTCCCCTGCATCCCCATTTCAACGGTACTGCTGTCGACTTTCGTGGGTGAGGAGGTGGGCAGGAAGTGGCAGCGGCGGGGGGAGAAATCAGCATCATCTGTAACCGGAACAAAGGGCAAACAAGACTCAGGGGATTGCCAGTGCATCCGGACTAGAGAACCCCCAGACGAGAACCCCAATATAGGAACCACAGCAAGTTAAACAGAACCTTCCAGTAGGTGCACAGTTGCTCAAAAGTCTGGGCCACGTATGGAATGAGAAAACATGAGACCGGACGGGACGACAGACCCGACTGAGCCCTGTGCAGAGAACTCAACCCATTCACCTGTCCACCATGGAATGTGAAAATAAGGTGAGCAAGAAAGGAGCACAAAAAATGTTACAGGATAACCGAAGCGACGCTCCTGCTGGGCTTATGAGATGCCTTGCAGGAGGGCGGGCCCAAGTGGTGGCTCCGCTCAGTGCACGCGCTGGAAACGAGCGCGCTAGGAAGAAAGGACGCAGCCCCCTCCGCAGGTCCCAACCCCAGCCCCAGCCCCACTCCCTTACTGATGGCTCTGCAGGCGAACTACTGACACACCGCGCCTCGGCTCGAAGCCCGGCTGACCAACGAACAATAAGCGCTTCCACACGCACAGCCACTCGCGGCGCCTACCTAGAGACGCCGGAGCGCAGGCTGCAGGGCCAGAAGTGCGTCATCGCCTTTCCGGCCTTCGGGACGGCGCCCGCTCTAGCACGCCTGGAGGCCGCCTCTACGTATCGTTGGTTCTTTCAGGCCAGCCTGCCTTCCGTGGTAGCTTTGCCGCCACGCTCTCGCCGAGCTGCGGCCCAAGTAGGGAAGGCTGAGTGCAGCGCTGGCTCTGGATTGCCTGCACTTGGCCTCTAGGGAGGGCTGGGAGGGCAGCTGCGTGGGCCGATTTCCCTGGGACAGACCAGTCTGCCCAGGAGAGCCAGTAATCACTGCCGGTCCATCAGGCCGCCCCTCAGTGGCTCCGGCGGGCTGGACCCAGACGCATGGGTGGCTGGACCGGCCGGAGTGAGAGGGGTTCAGGGCAGCACGATGGGTCAAGGCCCGAATACGCACTGTGCCTGCCAAGCCGGCCTCCTGCTGGAGACTCTGCCCCCTCCTCTGAGCTCTCGAGCCACATTGGCCCCTGCCACGTCCCCCACCGTCCCTCCCCCGACCTCCATCACCACCACCACACAGAACATGCATTGACCTGGCCTTGTCCTCCACGCCTCCACTTAATTAATTACCAGCTCATCAGTGTGGCCTTCCTAACTCCCCACCCCCTTTCCTATTCTGCTCTTCTGCTTTGCAGCACTTAACACAATTCTAATTACATACTTCTTCCGTCAGTGATTTACTATCTGTAATGAGTGGTTAATAAGGGATTGTCCGCTCAATTTTGTGTCTTTCCACAATGCAAGAATTTATTAGAGTAAATTGAGAGGATCTTGCCACAAGCAACTGAGGTCCAGGAAGGGCAGTAACAGCCCAGCGTTCCTTTACAGAGACTCAATCAAACATCACACATTAAACCATATGAGTATCATAAAAACGTATTAATAAACACCAAACACAGCATTCAATATACAAGGGGTTACGAACAAAAGTCCACAAAGACCTTGGCATGGTCCTGCTGAAGAGGACAGGGAGAAGCATGGGAACCAGCAAGGGGACCAGCAGCATGCTGTCCTCTCTCTGGGATGGCTCGCTGGCATCAGTGTTCCTTCCTCTCTCTGTTTTATGCTGCTTTCACATCTTATCCAGGTCTGCAGTTGTGCTGTCTGATTATCTCTGGGTGTGTCTGTGGTTTTAGTGGTTTTGGGCATTCCATAGGTGTTCCTTTAAGGCTTTGTCAGTTATACCCATAACTCCATTTTCTTTTGCTGCGTCCTTAGCATGAGTTCTTCTGTTTTGTATGCTCTCTGCACTATCTTTTTCCCCTCCTTAGACCATAAATTCCAAGAGGGCAGGGACTGTGTCTATCTCATTCACAGTCATAGCAAATTTCTGGAAGTTAAGTGCCTAGTAAATATCTGTTGAATGGATAGATGCGGCTGTTCCAAGGAAGGAGGGAATGAATGGATGAGTGGGTGTGAGGGAATGAATGAAGGTGAGAAGGAATGTAAGATGGTGCTTCCATCCATTAAACGCTGGGGGACAATGTTCATCTTGTCAGAGGTGGTCCACAGACTGTTTCTTACTGTGGATTCTAAGACTAGGGAGAGTTGACGGTGCTGAGCACTTGCTCTGGTTGCCCTGAGCAATCAGAGAGGACTTCATGGAGGCAGAGTGTGGGTGTTTCCAGCTCCCCAAGCAGAGGAAATGCACAAGGCAAAAAGGAGTTCACTCAAGAGGGCGTGTGGCAATCCTATGGTTGTCTGAGGAGACAAAGTCCCTGTTTGCTGGTTATTTCGAAGTTAAACAGTAACTTGGATGTTATGGGAACTGGTTGAATTGAGTCTGAACCTCAACTATTTCAAAAATGGGCTAGGCTGCTTGATCAAAGCCTTAGAGTCAATGGCACAGCTTTCTCCTTCCTGGGCCTGCTGACGGGGACCTGGCCTGACACCTCACAGAAGGCCCCCAGTAAAGTGTCAGCTCACCTCACCCAAGCCAGGGCAGCTTTCAGAGAAAGTCCCCACTACACTCTAAGCCTAGATTCTTATCATGAAATAAAGCAATTGGTTTGAAGTCCCTATCATCTCTGACATTTCATAATTCCAAGATTCCCAGTCTGTCCTTCTTGCTAGAGAACTGGGCAATCCAGTTGGGCCAGTGGCAGGGCCCCAGGTGAGAGGCTCAGAGACTGAAATCTGGGCCTCTGCTTGAAAGGTCCTCAGTCTAGAAGGCTTGTGGGTCTTTTAATGACAAGGAAGGGGTGGATGTGAAACCTAGTAAGTGCTTGGTCCCTTTCTGCTGAATGAGCTAGCAAATTAATGAATAAATGAATGCATGAGTAAATAAATGGCCATGTGAATGGTCAGTAAGTCATGAGGGTCAAGGAAGGCTTTGTAGAGAAAATGCTGGAGCTGAGTCTAAAAAGGTTAGAACAAAGCCTGAAGCTGGTGAGGGGGGTGCAATGTTTCTAGAGGCTTCCTCTGGGCTTCTTCCTGGTCCCGCCTCCTCTTTCCACGTGACCAGGCTCTAGCAAGTGTGAAATCCAGGGGAACATTTTGCTCCCAGGTACTGACTCACCAGCGTTATTTACTATAACTTGCAGGCCAGGGCAAGATCCAGGTGAAAAGAGCTTTCCATCCCCAATCTTTCAAGGCCTCTCAAAACCTCTCTGGCACCCAGAGAACAGTGTATCCAGAGCTCAACCTGGAAGAGCACAGCCATGGTGCTCTGGGTTCCAGTGCTGGGAGTTCTGCTGGTGGCCATTGTGGGGTACCTGTGCGTGCTGGGGCTGCTTCGGCAACGCAGGCCCCAGGAGCCCCCTCTGGACAAGGGCTCCATACCATGGCTGGGCCATGCTGTGGCCTTCCGGAAGAATATGTTTGAATTCCTGAAGCACATGTGGGCCAAGCACGGGGATGTGTTCACGGTGCAGCTTGGGGGCCAGTACTTCACCTTTGTCATGGACCCCCTCTCCTTTGGCCCTATCCTCAAGGATGCGCAGAGAAAATTGGACTTTGTGGAGTATGCGGAAAAATTGGTGCTAAAGGTATTTGGATACCACTCAGTGCAGGGAGACCACCGGATGATACACTCAGCCAGCACCAAGCACCTCATGGGGGATGGCTTGGAGGATCTCAACAAAGTCATGCTGGACAGCCTGTCTTTGGTTATACTGGGGCCCACGGGCCGGAGTCCAGATGCCAGTTGCTGGCGTGAGGATGGCCTCTTTCACTTCTGCTACGACATCTTGTTCAAGGCTGGCTACCTGAGCTTGTTTGGCTACACAAAAGACAAGGAGCAAGACCTGCTACAGGCAGAGGAGTTATTCATCCATTTCCGCAAGTTTGACTGCCTGTTCCCCAGGTTTGTTTACTCTCTGCTGTGGCCCCGGGAGTGGCTAGAAGTGGGCCGGCTCCAGCGTCTCTTTCATAAGACACTCTCTGTGAAACACAACCTGGAGAAGGATGGCATAAGCAACTGGATATCCTACATGCTTCAGTTTCTGAGAGAGCAGGAAGTGGCTCCAGCCATGCAGGACAAGTTCAACTTCATGATGCTCTGGGCCTCCCAGGGGAACACAGGTCCTACCTCTTTCTGGGCCCTCCTGTTCCTCCTGAAGCACCCAGAAGCCATGCGAGCTGTGAGGAAGGAGGCCACACGGGTCCTGGGGGAGGCCAGGCTGGAGGCCAGGCAGTCTTTCAACTTCAAGGTCAGTGCCCTGCACCACACCCCAGTGCTGGACAGTGTGATGGAGGAGACACTACGGCTGGGGGCTGCACCCACCCTTCTCAGGGTGGTACACGGTGACCATACCCTGAAGATGGCCAGTGGGCAGGAGTACCGGCTCCGCAGTGGAGACATTGTGGCCCTCTTCCCTTACCTCTCAGTGCACATGGACCCTGACATCCACCCCGACCCCACTGCTTTCAAATATGATCGCTTCCTCAACCCCAATGGCAGCAGAAAAGTGGACTTCTATAAGGCAGGCAAGAAGATCCACCACTATACCATGCCGTGGGGCTCAGGCGTCTCTATCTGCCCTGGGAGGTTTTTGGCCCTCAGTGAAATGAAGCTTTTTATTCTTCTCATGGTCACACACTTTGACCTGGAGCTGGTGGACCCTGATACACCTGTGCCACCTGTGGACCCCAAGCGTTGGGGCTTTGGCACCACACAGCCCAGCCACGACGTGCGCTTCCGCTACCGCCTGCAGCCTACTGAGTGAGCTCTGCCAGGGTGGCTGCAAGCGTGGCCAGAGGGGCTCCCTTGGGGTCTCCACCTCCTCTTGTCCCTCTGAAGCCCCAGACCCCCACTGACCACCCATCCTTCTGGTTCTGTGGCACCCCCACCTCTGTCCTGGTTGCCCTCCTTGCTCTCTGGCCTCCTTCTAGTCATGTCACAGGCCTATTATTCTCTCTTTAAAACACCATCTCTCACAGTGGGTTCTGTGGAACTCTTCTCTCCTAGGAAGTCGAGGGGAAGGGAAATATCTGTGGGCAACTCAGTTAGGGAGATAACGCATGCCTTGACAAGTCCTGTGGTACAGAAACTGGTTACTGTGAGAAACGCAGCATCTTGCAAATGTTAGCCTCCACCCTCCCATCCCACCTTATTTTTTTCCTCAACAACTATTCCACATCCTGCAGAATTCAGGTTCTAGAACAGTCTCATCCAATAGCAATATGAGACAAGCCCTAGGTGTAATTTTTAATTTCATAGTTGACATGTTTTTTAAAAAGTAAAAACAAACAGGTGAAATTCATTTTAATAAGTATTTTACTTACTCCAATATATCCAAAATATTAACATTTCAACATGTAATCAATACAAAAATATTAATGAAATGTCTTTACATATTTTTTTTGTATTGTCTTCAAAATCCGGTATGTACTTTTTACCCTTGCAGGATGTCTCAATTCAGACTAGCCACATTCTAAGTGCTCAGTTGCCATGTGTGGCTCGTGGCTAGCATATTGAATAGAGTAGGTCTAGAGAAATGCTGCCCTTCCTGTAGGAGTTGTTCAAGGTCTCTCCTCAGTGCCTTCATCTCCCCTCTGCACCCCACCTCTGGGTGATCTCAACCCCTCTCTTGGTTTCCATAACTATTGCTAAGCCCAGAGCTGTCTCCTAACTCCAGACCCCCAATTTCCTCATGGGGGTCTCACAGCATCTCTGACTCAGTTTGGGCCCATGCAGAACTCAGCAGCAGCATCTGTTCCCCCACCTCTGCCCTGAACCACCCCCGTCTCCTGATTTCCCTGCCTCTCTCTCCTCAGGACATCACCACTCCTCCCATCCCCCAAGGCAGATACGGTGGAGACACCCTCTCCTCCTCCCTGTCTCTCACCCTCATATAACCAGGCCCCAGCTATGTCAGCTTAACCCTCTGTGGTGCCTCTGAAACATGTCCCCCCGTCCCCACCCCACTGCCATTCCTATAGCTCAGAACTCAGCATTTCTCTCCATATCAGTTCCCCCTGCTGCCAGAGATCCTTTTCCAAAAGTGCCTCTGATTGTCACTCTTTACTTTACTGGCTCCCCATCACCTCCACACACCTGACATTTAAGTTTTGCCACAGCTGGTCCCCAAATTTTCAATACAGGGCAGTTCACTTCCGCCAACATCTGTTATGTGTCGTTGCTGTGTCCTGGTTTCCTCCTGCTGCCGTCTGCTCCATACAGGAGCCCATAGGGCTTGATTCCTTATTCCTTCACCTCTGACCCTCAATTCCATAGATGTAGATTAAATTATAGAAACCTGACTTCCAGTCTCATCTAATTTGCTTTGTGTTCTCAAATCATTTTCTTCCCCTCCCTGCCCTTACTCAGCTTTCCAGCGTATGAAATGGAGACAATCCCTGTTGCCAGGCATGCTTACCAGGGCTGGGAGAGGGGGAGAGGGTGCTGCTGGCAGGGCCCTAGCAGGGGCTGGGACATAAGGGAAAGTGACTGTAGGAGCTGGTATAGGGTCCTGGAGAAGGGAGGCCTGGGCAATATGGATCCCCTGCAAGAACCACCCGGTGGGGTTTCTCTCTGCTACTCCTATCCCACATCTCTGACTGGCCTCTTCCTTTCTCTTGAGGTTGCCTGTTCTTCCTTGAGTTTTGCCAGGATAATAGACTACTAGAGGGGGCAGGGGCCTGGGCTGGGGGCAGGGGTCTGTCCCTACTAACTATGTGACTCTGGGCCAGAGCCTGCCTTTCTCTGAGTCTAGCTACCCCAAGACGATGACATCTGCCTGGAGCCTGATAGAGATCTGACTGACTAGGCGAAGCCAAGATATCCCATCCTATTCCACAAGGGGGCAGGAGCACAAGAAGGGTCGTGTGGGGAGCACAGGAGAGGGAGAAGGGGGCTGGGAGGCCAGGAGTCATCCATAAGGAACTTACCAACAACTTCCCCACAGAGCTAGGCCCTGTGCCAGAGGAGGTGTGGGGATAGGAGCAGAGATGCAGGGCCTTCACACATCTCCTTGGCTCTGCCCAGACCGAGGTGCTACATGCTTCCTTTCCCCACATCCAAAGGAATATGGACCAGGAGCCTGGCCTGTGGACAGGCTGGGGCAGGGCTGAGGACCCACGTGCACTAAGTCAGGCCCAAGAGGTCTCAGCTGAGAGCGACCTTGTGCAGATCTCCCAGGAACTTCATGGATCCTGTGGTCCATTTGAGGGTATGCAGGTGAGGTGAATATAAGTGTACCATCCACAGTCAGGGATGTCCACCAGTGAGCCCCCCCGATCAGACTGTGCACCTAGAGGCCACTGCCCACGTGCCAGCAGGGGAGGGGCCCATATCACATGTAGTTCCATGTCCCTGGCATGGGGACTGCTAAAGACACCCTCTACAAGAGCCACACTTCCTTCCCTGGCAGAGGCCTCAAGGCAGGAGGAAGACAGAGACCCCCAAGGATACAGCTAGGCACTGTCTGTCCTGACGCAATTCCTCATTTCTGTACCAAATTTTTTCTCCCTCAGAGAAAAGCCCACTCAGTGTTTTCTCTCTGAGGATATCTTATAGAAAAGCAAGATCAAGCATGGCATGCCAATGGTGGAACTACAGGCACGAGGGAAAGAAAAGAGATGTTGTTTTCATAGGCAGTAACTGTTGTGAATGCTCACACCACACTTCACAGGGTGGAGGGTGGGCAGCCCTGGTCCCAGGCAGAGCCATGCCTGCCTTTCTCCCTGGTCAGTGGGGTAAGAGGCCACCCTGCCTCAGAGCCTGAAGGCCAAGAGAATCCTGGGGACTTTCCTGAGACCCCTGGGGGAGGCTTGGGCAGTGCAGGCAGGGAGCTAGGCAGGCCTTTGGGCAGACAGAGAGCAGTAGGAGGGACCAAGGTCCAGGCTGGAAAATAAGGTGGGGATGGAGAGGGCTCTGTCCTGTCCCGGGCTGTGAAAGCCCATCACCAACTGACTCCTTGAGCAGTGCCAGCATGCCTTCTCGCAAACAGTGCTGCAGTCAGAGCCCACATTATGGTCAGCTGCACTACCTGGCAACCAAGACAGTGAGAGGAACCAGTGGGTGGCCTGTGGCCAGCCCTTCTCCTCCCCTTTGGGCACAGGCTTCATGGCACTTCTTATATACCTGTTGTTTGCAGATACCACACACCTCCACTTACATAGCTAGAGAAAGACTCATAGGAACATATAAAAAACCCGTGGGCACATACCCAGAGCGACGTGGACTCAGTGACACATTCATGTCAGATTCACACACACAGTCACTTACTACACACAGCCCACACAGCAACACAGATATACGCACACAGACTTCACACACACACACACACACACAAATCTGCCAGTGCTGGTGAGAAGCCCTGTTAGGTGTCCCTTGCCTGGCATACCTTGCCCCATCCCATCTGAGCTTCATGGGCACAAAGTCAGGGACTCTGGCCTGGGACCAAGTCAGGGACCTAGACCCTGTTGATACAGCTCAGGCTGTACCTCACCAGTCTGGTTGCCATGTGGGAAGACTGAGGTCCCTTGTGGGGCAAGATTTCAGGAGCCCTAAAATAGAACCCTGTGCCCGACATCCTCAAACAAATCACCATCTTCAGATCCAGAGCTTCATTTCCCAGGGGACCAAGGGAGCTCAGAGTCCTTCCATATAGTGGGGAGTCTGGGACCTTATGGAGAGAGAACTAAAGGCACTAGAACTGAAAGAGATGGTGGGGGTGGCAGAGACAGAGAGAAAAATCAGCAAGGTCAACTCAGGCAACATCCACAGACAGCCCGGCTCATGACACACGTGCTGTGACTGGACCATCCATTGAAGCTCAGGGGAAGACAAGAAGGAGCAGGCAGAATACTGAGCACCTGCTCAATTCTCTATCCATCCATTTGTTCATTCAAAAAAATACTTAGTGAGTACCTACTACAGTCTGAGCTCTTACTTAAGCACGAGGGATGCAGATTTTACACACAGCAACATCCCTGCTCTCCTGGAGCTTACATTCGCCCAGCCACGTGTTCTCCGGTCCTCCATTCCATCTACCTAAAAGTTTCCTTCTGAGCACTACTGTCTGCCAGGATCTGTGCTGGGTTTTGCAGGACAGACATGGCAAGATCTGGGCAGATTGTGCCAGGTGGTTCTGGGAGGAGGGGGAAAGCAATGAATGCTTTAGAAGCTCAGGAAAGAGAGAAGTCACTGTGGGCCAGGGGCTCCCTGAAGAAAGGCTTCTCAGTGGATGTGCCAGCGGGCAGGGAGGATGCCAACCACTGGAGACGTGAAGAGAAAAGCACCCAGGCAGGGCATATAAGTCAGGAATCCTTAGATTGCAAGTAACGAAACACTGCCACCCCAAATTGGAAAGGACTTTATTGATTTGTATAACTGCCAAGTCCAGGATTGGCATGAGCTTCAGCTGTGCCTTAGATTCTGGGGCTCAAACACCGCCCCCAGTGTCTGCTCACTCACTGTGCTATCACATCACCTGAATTCGAGTTGATGGAGGAGCAGCTCCAGACCTCGCATCCTCTCGGCTTCAGTTTCATGCCTCTGTTCTAGTAAGTTCCAGTGGCATTACATTTCACAAGCTCTGCCTGAGTCATGTCCCCACCCCAAATGAATCACTGTGCCAGGGAACTGGTCCCATGCTGCCCAAGTCCCATGCTCTACCTGACCTCTAGCCTAAGCACAGGGAAAAGTGACTCAGAAGTGGTTTCCCAGAGCAAGTGGGATTCAGTTACAAGACAAGGGTGAAGGGATACCTGGTTGGAAAATGATCCCTGTGACATGAGGGAGTCGGCAAGCATAAAAGCACAGAGGTGGGAATGTGTGGGAAACATCAAGGGGTGCCTGGCGTCCAGGAAATGAAAACGGGAATGGAGGAGGAGAAGGGTAGAATGGTGTACGGGATTCTGCTTGTGAAAGCTCCAGCCTTGAAGTTGGACAAAGATTTTGGACTTGACTGTACAGGTCCCAGGGAGCCCTGAAGGCTCCTGAGAGGGGATATGGGAGGCAGAGGGAGGCGTATCCTCCTGAACCCCCAGAAACACATGTTCACTCTGCCTCCTACCTGCAGGCTCCCACGCTCCTAGGCGGAGTACCTCCAGCCCCTCCTGACTGCCAGACCTACAGCCACCATCAAGGCTGCAATATTAAACAATATAGCAACAGTATTTCCCCACTGAGCTACAGGGAAGGGGGCAGACTGGTAGGCGGCGGGCCTTCGGCTACTCTGAAGGACATGGGCGTGATGCCTGAGGATGTCATGATCACTCTGGCTGCTGGGTGCAGATTAGATGATAGGGGAGCATGACGATAGGAAGTGCAAAGATCACTTGGGAAACTATTGCAGCAATTCAGACAAGATAATATGGTGTCCTGGAAGGTAATGAAGAAAGTGGAGGAAGAAGGTGGGGGTGAGAAAATGCTGCTGATGTCTGAGAACTGAGAACTGACCACTGGGTTTAGCAACATGGTCACTCAGGCCCTCGGAGAGAGGACTTTTGGTGGATGCCCAACTGAGCTGGGTCCCATGTGCTGTCACCAGACTGTGGTATGGCCACCCAGGCTTAATTTTTCCCCATGTCCCCCGTGTTGGGGGAG